TTTTTTTTTTTTTTTTTTTTTTTTTTTTTTTTGGTTGTTTGTTAATTTATACTGAATTGCAGTGATATTAAATCCTTATTTTCCGGTGGCATATAATGTTTAGTAGTAGTTCCAGTTCGTTCTGATGTGTTAGTTCTCTGATATATTTGGTGCTTTGGCTCTCACAGTCACAGCTTAAAGCGATGAAAAGCTTTCCCAACACACCTGAAGTGACTTACATTATCATGACTAGTAACGCTTTTCCACCACTCTTCTGAAACGAGCAGTTTATACTCTCGGGATTAATTTTATTTACTTTCTTGTTTCTGCTCCGGCTTCATTTGCAAGCTGATTTACTGGATGGTAATTGACAGGTGTATGGCATCGGTATGCAGGTTGCTGTAACTCAAACCTTATTATCTTATTTCAGATACATTTAAAATATAATGCCCATTTTTTTCATTATTTGGTGAAGTTTTCTTGACACCTAAGCGATGGATTTGAGACATCCGTCACTGGATAAATTAATAGGTGTGGTTTTGAAGATATGCTGATAAGTTCGTCGGTATGCATATTTTCTTTGTGCTTATTAATAGGGAGGTAGTTAGCCTATTTCTTGAATTCTGTCCAGCTTTCTAGCAGTTTGGGCATTCTGAAAGGTCTGAGATGCTAAGTGCTGGTAAATTGTTGGCTGCTCAAAATTAAAAAGGCGTAATCTTGATGTGTTCAATAAAAACCACTAAAGGAAAATCCTAAAGACGTAAGATAAACCATCTCGTTTCTCTTTCGCCTTTTCAGAGTGTCTAGTCCAGGTAGACTGCTGTGTTATCAGGTTAAAAATTATCTCAAAGGTAAAATTTTAATAAAGAATACGTATATATCGCTTTTTAGATGAAGTTCAGCGCAGATCTACCGCTTACTTTTGAAAAGCCATATTCTTCAATATCATGTCTTTTTCAGGAAGTAACCATGTCTGTTTTTAGGCAGAAGTGAAAATTGTGCATTAAAAAAATTCATTTTCTCTATGGCTGTTACTGAGGTAAAGTCAGTAATAACGTGGTCACCTTTGCTGTTGCTTATTGCAGGTTTACCACAAACGTTAGGTGTTAAAGACATTTTGCTGACCAAAACGAAAATCGACGAACGTCGGCAAGTTCTCTGTCCAAGTATGCAGTGCTTCTGTCTGTTCTTACGCAAAGGCTTATAAAACCGACTCTTTACTGCTAGACGACTATGTGAGGGAAATCTCATTCATCAAAGCAGAAATCTAATGTATAGGTGAAGAAAACGCTAGAGTATGGAGTGAAACTTTTTTACGGCACAATAGTTTGCTAGTATAAATATTTTTGAGCAATGTTAAAGTCAAAAGGAAGATGAGTAGTTTTAGCTTACTTCAAAGCAGTGTTTTTTAATTATCTATCCAGGAATGACTGTTCAGAATTTTATGAGACTACGATGACCATAAGTAGTTTGAAAAAGTTTTCTCAGAAGTCGACATTAATTACAGTGGTACAAGTTTCTTTTGCCGAACGCTGGGTTACTTACTGTTTCGAACACAACCCTCTTCTTTCGTCCAGAAAGGATACTTGGTGTGCAGAAAGGCTTAATTTCTGTATTCAAATATTTTGGGTTCTCTATCAGTGTACATGATAATAATTTTTTTTTTTTTTTTTTTATGCTGTTACTTGTCCTGAGGACCCTAGTTTTCACCAACTTTTCTACAGCTCTGTATCAGGAAAGACATTAAATCTTTTTCTTTTGCAGTTTCCAGCGTTCACTTATTAGCGTACTAGCCCACTGTTCTTGTCAGTAAACAAAGTCTTCTTCATAGCAACCTTAACAGATCACCGGAATATCGTAATGCTAAATGATGCATTTACATAGTTACACTGTTCCACTCATCTGTTGGATGTTTTTCGGGTAAAACTTAAATGCTATTTAACAAGCGTTTGCGGTCTTCTTGAGTTAGCCAAGCGCATCAGTGTGGATGCTACAGAATGTAAACTGTTGCAAAGTTGGATTAAATTCGATTGGCGAATTACATCATGATATTAAAGCTGTTTGCTTTAAGACTAGTGACGACGTTACATTGGGCAAATAACCAAAATTCTATTCAAACTTTGCACGGCGTCCGTATAAGAGATCAAAGATTTCACCATACAGTTCGGCGGAGCAAGCTTTCTCACTTAGGCTGATTTAATCAACGGTATTCTTTTTTGGCGAAAATTTTTGTCTAAAACAATATGACGAACATTTTGAGCTTGTTAAAGTCCATGAATCAGATATTCGTACAAATATATACAGACAACAAGTGAAACAACTGTTCAAGGTGTAGTAAATCAGAGCATATTAATGTTGTTTCATCAGCTTCTTAGAACGTCTGTATAGCTGCAAGTGGGGGTGGCCAAGTTGGGCGTTGACTCCGCCTCAGTTTAACAATGGCGTTGCGTCTGGTGCAGCAGTGCTCGGAAATTAAACGAAAGCTGTATTATCATACATTAAATTCGCGTTCAACTTTGGTAAACATACGGTACTGGAGGATTCTGGAAAAACCCAATAATTATGGCTACCATCGTGTTGTATATGAATTACGTTTTTTATTTCATATTTTTCCCCTGTCTACAATGATTAAATTAATTATCTGGTTTATTTAAATTGCTTGTTTGGTGCTGATACCGATGTTGCCGCTGTTCAAACGAGATTTTATCTGACTAAAAATCGTGGAAAAAAGTGCAAGGAATGTATTCTTGAAAATGGTGACAGTTTTAAAGCTGAATAGTCCTACGACATCACAGGAGATCAGGCGGGAAAGTAAAGTGGGATAACACTGTTTGTTTGTGATAAAAGAAATGATTAGAAATGGGAATTAAGCAAATGAAAAAACTGGAAGAACTGTAGTGATGGTGGTGGTTGTGATGATGGATTGCGAGCAGGGTAGAATTTTTTGTAAGTTGGCTTTGTGCAGCACCAGTGTTACCGGGAACATCATATGAAGCGCCTGCCTGCCCAGGCTTGCGGTAGGGACGCCAAGTTGAGCGTCAACTGCGCAGTGGCTATTGGTGAACACAAATTTAGTGCTGTTAGATGGAGCAATTAGGCTTCAACAGACTGCTACTATAGCAACCGTGGTCTTTAGGCGTTAGACGGAATACTTTTAATGGCCGGTTACGATAATCGCAAACCATTCCAATATAAAATGATCGCGACATTTTCACACGCGTTGCGTTTTTGTTCTTTTCACACTTTCTAATGGTTT